CTCTGACTGGTCCTGTATGTTGCGCCACACAGCATTTGGGATCACATTTGTCCTGTGCATCTCTTGTGTTCTGGGGAAAACAATAGTGGTGTTAATGGCCTTTAAGGCTACACTGCCAGGCAATAACATTATGAAATGGTTTGGCCCCACACAGCAGCGCTTAAGTGTTCTGGGTTTCACACTAGTACAGGTATTGATATGTATTCTTTGGTTGATAATATCACCTCCTTTTCCAAACATGAACATGAAATATTATGCAGAGAGAATCATTCTGGAGTGTGACCTGGGATCTGCAGGTGCATTCTGGGCTGTGTTAGGGTATATAGGATTCCTCTCTGCCATGTGCTTTGTGCTCGCTTTCCTGGCTCGGAATCTACCTGATAACTTCAATGAAGCCAAATTCATTACGTTCAGCATGCTCATATTCTGTGCTGTCTGGATCACCTTTATCCCAGCTTATATCAGCTCTCCCGGAAAATTTACAGTAGCTGTGGAAATATTTGCTATTTTAGCTTCAAGTTTTGGTTTGATAATCTGTATTTTTGTTCCGAAATGCTATATTATATTACTGCAGCCTGAAAAGAATACAAAAAAACACATGATAGGTAAAGTGCCCTCTAAATCTCTTTGAAAACACACACATTTTATCAAGCTTTTAATTTTTATCAAATTAATGCACAGTACATGCTCAAAAGATCCTTGTTGACCTGTAACCTTTGCATCATTCATTCACTGACAGAAATACGATGAACCCTTGTATTACTGCAAAAGCAACCGACGTCGACTTTTTAACATTACCCAATAAAACTTACGAATCAGAAAGGGAATCTGTTTCACTGTTTTTATTGTGTGCGCCAAAATATTTCTTGGTTAAAACATTTGGCCACAATTCACCTTATCAGAGGAACACATGTACACATGGGACAAAAAAATCTCAATGTAAATTAACATTATATCATGAAATACTTCTATCCTGATTAATGCTAATTAAGCAATTAGCATTAGTAATTACGAACAGCAGTTCGTACTCTTGAATAACGAAGCAGCCTACTTCTGCACATAACAGTGCTAAAGGGCACATTTATTAATTTATGACAAAATTATAACTTCATTCACAGAAATTTCACAAACAACGTTGACTGGATTCGAAAACAATGTAAAGTTTACTTAAAAGCGATTTTGATAAAGAATCTGATTGCAAACTTTGTTTAAAATGTTTTTAAAGCTTTCATCCGATGTGTTTGAAATCCACGAAAACATAAATACTTCTCTTTCTACCGTCAACGTTTTAAAAACTGCATATCACTGCACTGTGTTATTTAAACTTTGGTAAAATATTTAACGTAAAAATAAAAAATACATACCTTTTTAAAAAAAATAAAATCTTAAAAAACTAGATATCCAATCTTTTATGATAGCAGCCATGTTTGCGCTTGCGCAGTTCGTGTTGACTCTATTTAAAAGACAAAGACTCTCCATAAATGCGAATTAATAAATTAAATCCCTTGACATTTCATTAAAAATAAATAAGGTAGCGAGCTCATATTCTAACCTTCAATGTTTTTTTTTCTTTCCTGACCGTTTGCGTTGCATTTATTTCCAGTCACCTTTTTCTAACACCTGTAATAATAATTGCTTACACATGTATAGTGCTTTCTGGACACTGCACTCAAAGCGCTTTACAGGTAATGGGAACTTCCCTCCACCACCACCAGTATGCAGCCCCACCTCAATTTTTTAATGACCGCCGTCAGGACCTTGATTTTACATCTCATCCGAAGGACAGCGCCTATTTTACAGTATAGCGTCCCCATCACTAAACTGAGACATTAGGATCAACACAGACTGCTGGGTGAGCGCCCCCTACTGGCCCCACTAACACCTCTTCCAGCAGCAACCTTTTCCCAGGAGGTCTCCCATCCAGGTACTGGCCAGGCTCACACCTGCTGAGCTTCAGGTTCAAGGGCTGCAGGGTGATATACCTGCTGGTGATCTACCTGACACCTGTTATCAGTTCAAACATTTCTTGTACTAAATTCATTTTAAAAGTGGAACTGCAGGTCCACATTTGTAAACTTGGTCAAGAACGTAAAGTTGGAGAAAAGTTTCAGTTAGATTCTGTAAAAAATTTGGATAGTCTCACAGGGACTTGAGAGCCCCGGCTCTAATAATACATTGTTTTACATGACCTAAGTAATTACTGATATTATAATGGACAGGGGCTCCAGATCGTGGTTCTGGAGGTCCCACGCCTGCAAAGTTTCATTCCAGCAGAGCTTAATTACCCAATTGAAGCCTTAATTGAACGAACAAGGTGCCTGATTGGAATATTTGTATGTTTATTTTCTTTTACTGCTGAAAAGTGTGTGATGTGATTTATAAAATGCAGCAGCTGAAAGATAACCGCTAAATGACCTTTCACTCTCACCCTGCGGTCTGTGTGGGCACTAATACCCCAGCATAGTGAAGGGGACACTATACTGTAAAAAAAGACTCTGTGCTTTGGATGAGACGTAAAACCAAGGTCATTAAAAACCCATGTCTAGATACATGTAGGGCTGTTATCCCGTCGTCCTGGCCAAATGTCCCCTCTGTCTTTTGCCAGTGATGACCTCCTAATAATCCCCATCTATGAACTGGCTTCACCACTCTGTTCTCCTCCCCACTGAGAGCTGATGTGTGGGGAGCGTACTGGTGCACTCTGGCTGCCGTCGCATCATCCAGGTGGGGGTACAAATTGGTGGTGTTGGAGGGGATCCCCATTACCTGTCAAGTGTTTAGAGAAGAGCTACAGTATATACCTGTAGGTGTAAGGATTATTAAAATATGTTTAAGAGCTCAAAACAGCCAAACTTCAGATGAATCCAATTATTAAATCAATTTGAGGGTGTAATTGCGAGTTTCACTGTAACAAAAATCAACCCCTATAGGAGACACAGTTACAGAGACGTACTGTATACAATTTATAATGGGAATAACATAAACGAGACGTGAGTGTAATTTTTAAATCTGTCCAGCAGAGGGTAGCCTCTACCAGGTTATACAACTGTTGTGGAAGGCAAGCCATATCGCCACAAAAAGTAAGCCTTTTTTGCTGTTTATTTTATAATTACTATCAAAAATCGAGGTAGTCTTATCGAGTAAACCCATTTAAATACTTTTAAAAGTTTAATAATAAAAAGCCACTGAAACACGGAACATCATCATTTAAAGTGTGTTGGTTTTTTTAATTTTACTACACGTAATGCTTTTTTTAGTGTTCTTCTCAGGTCTCAGCAAAATTATATAACACTTAGGTGCAAATATACAGATAAGAAGTCCAAAACTGGAGGAAAGAATAGCAAATATTTCCACTGCCACTGTGTATTTTCCCGGGGAGCTTTGATAAGCTGGTATAAATGATATCCAAACTGCAAAAAATATAAACATACTGAAGGTGATGAATTTGGCTTCGTTAAAGGTGCCGGGCAATTTTCTGCCTAAAAAAGCTAACACGAAACAAACACAAGAAAGAAGTCCGATATATCCCAAAACTAAATAGAAGGCCAGCGTTGATCCATCTTTACATTCAAGGATGATCTTCCCACCCTGGTAGGACGTATTTTTGAAAGGGAAAGGGGGAGCCACGATGAGCCACAGGGCACACAGCACAGCTTGAACGACTGTGCAGAGAAAAATGATCGCTCTTTGTTGCAAAGGACCGAACCGTTTGATCGCGTTGGATCCGGGCAATGTGGCTCTGAAGGCGACTAGCACTACGATAGTCTTTACAAGAATGCAGGAGATGCACAGCACAAAGCTGATTGCAAAGGCTGCTTGGCGAGCCATACAGCTCCAGACCGATGGTTTGCCGATGAACAGAAGTGAACACAGGAAACAGAGAGCCAAGGCAATCAGCAGCAGGAAGCTGAGCTCCGAGTTGTTAGCTCTGACCAGGGGGGTGCTTCTGCAATTGTAGAAAATGACAACAGTGGCCAGTGTTACAGAAACCCCCACAAAAGTCAAAATGACTAAAATGATTCCCAGAGTGTCCTGGAAGGAGAGGAACTCTATTGCTCTCGGTTCACACATCGTCCTGTCTTTATCAGACCAGTGATCCGGAGGACACTTTGTACACTCAGTAGAGTCTGCAGAGAAAAGTGAAATAAAATGTTATCGTTATCAAAGGGACATTGCCACGATTTATCTAAGTCAACGAGTAGGCCTAAGGAGGCATCAAATTAATTTTACTCAAATAGGAATTAAGAGGCATTATTTTTAAACATAAAATAACCCTTAGGTTCAAGTAGGTCAAGTGTATTATACTGTATTAGGTAAATCTCCTAGGATGTACTGTCAGGCAATTGTACTGTACCAGTTAATTGAGGAAAAGATACTGTTTGTAAAACTGAGGGATCACATAAGGGCAACATAAAAAGGGTTTTTAGAATGCTGTTCTGCGGGAAACGGTGAAACATAATACACAGAAATGAGCACGTAACACGAAAATAAATAATGAAGGACATGAGATCTCAGCTGGAGGGAGAGAGCAGTAAAGTGAGACTGAGGAGTGGGAAAGGAGGACAGATGGAAGGGAAGCTGAGAATCAGTAGGTGTGGGTGGGGCCGGTGAAGAGGGAGGTAAAGAGATGAATAGGTGGCACTGTCAGCACAGTTAAGTTGCCGTTACCAGATTCGTAGCTGATTTCCCCCTCGGCACAGGGTAGGCAGTCGAAACAGCACAGAGGCTCCCCCACACGAATGGCTTTCCTGGTACCTGGGGGACAGCTCTTACTGCACACTGACCTTGGCACCTGGAGAGGAGCCCAAGGCAATTACTGTAAACTCTCTTCTGCCCTTTGTGAGACTAAGCCTCAGAGCACATACTGTATTAATGGTCTATCACAGAAATGCATGAATGTGTTTAACAAATTGAAATTGAAATGTGTTAATTGAAAGACAGTTCTGTATTTTGTATCATCAGCTGCAGTTGGTGACCTTTTCTGACACCAGCTTTGCAAACCTGACTGGGTTGTAATCTGGTCATTTCAGGCATGCAGTTGCCAATGTGTCATAGGCACATATTATAGCAGAGTGAAAATCCGATGCCAAAATGCAATGGGCTTGAGGTTTGGCATTTTACAAATGGATTTTCAGAAATTATCCTTTTGTCAGTCGGGCAGTCCTCTTGTGTCAGTCAGGAAAGAAAATAAAGCTGTGAGATTTGCATTCTAATTCTATTATGTCAGGAGTTTGTGTTTTAACAGACTTTATATACATACCCTGATTTTGCTATTTCTCAGACACACTGCTGCTCTTTTTCTGTTTTCCTGATGTGCCCTTATGTGTTTTATGAATCAGAAAACATTACTGTAGCTGAAACAATCAGCGAGATGGACAGGTTCATCTTCACTGAGTTGTGCCTTTGGCTGCCCTACCTCTATCTGAGCCAAAAATGGAGAAGAATAGAGCTCCGAACAGCAGCGTGTTAATGACCCCTGCTAGGAAGCACATTAGCCCGATGTAAAAGAAATGCCTTTACAGTCAGTGCACATGTGCTGGCCCACACATTGTTTCCCATGGTGCTGAGCAGTAACAGATGGCGCGTGTGTTAAGAGTTGTGAGAATAGACACCGCAGAGGATGAATCCCTATGAGCAATTATAGTCTGTCCAGTTAAAAAGAAAACGTTGCCTCTGAAAGAAAATGAGTGCTATTACACCGACTACTAATTGCTGGCCCAAGAGCCATAATATCAAACGCTATAATATCAATTCATCTTAGAGTTCAAACAAAAAATGACATAAAATGAAACAGCTTTTCTATTGTATGTCTGCATAAAATCACCCGAGGAAACCTGAGGCCTACTCTTATTGTTTGCTTTTTGTGATAAGGAGCTAACTGTCTGGTGTGGTATTCTTCAAGAATAACCTGCCAAGACTTGCTTTCAAGATATGGTATTCTGTAGATGTATTGTTCTACTGGGAGTTGAGGTCTTCTCTTATGAGAGGTGTCCTTAGGTAAAGCACGGCAATACTAAAAGTCACAAAGAGAAAACAAAGAAAGATTTGCTTTCCATTTCCTCACATTTTCTGCCAGACTTTCAGATGTGCATGTTCCATACATTCACTCTCCTGGACCACAGCAACACAATATCTTTTGCGTTCAATGCAACGTGAAAACACTAAAGCATGAACCAAACTCCACAATACACTGCAGTCTTGGTCTCAGGACAGAAATTAAAACCTTTCCAAAAAAAAAACAACACAGTCTGAAGGCAAAATCAGTGCACTTCAAATGCTGTCAAGCATTGTTGGAGACTCCTGCTTCCACAAAATGTTTGTCTACACGTATCATTTTTATTTCAACATATTATGTGATTTTGCCAAACTTTCACTGACTCAAAAAAATCCCTACCTGTTCCTGACCATCATACCACATGATATCCTTTTCATTTATGTTCAGCTGTGTCCCTTTCGGAGTGGAGGCATCAAAACTTCCAACTTTTACAAATCGGATGTTTCCACTGTCATCTTTCTGCCAATTTATAATGTCGTATAGAGGCACTGGCTCTCCATTTTCATCAAAATTCACTCTTTCTCCAAATTGGTTTATAAAATCAACTTTTTTCAAATAGTTTAGCAGCTGTAAAGAAAGGATAAATAAAAGTAAACAGTCTTTATAGTGAGTGTACTTTCTGGTTGCATATTTCACTCACGAAGTAATAACTTTTAACAAAAGTAAAATAATATTTAATAAAATTCATGAGATACAGGAATTCAGTGCCTAATATTTTCTGAGGGCTATGGACTGCAGAAGGAGAGTGCAGGGAGAGTGAAATGGGTTTCCTGTTCTGCTTTTTTATTATTCAATGTGCAGACAGCACTATTGAATGTTTATCGAATTTTCACACTATGATGTAGAGTGTGAATGTGGAACTATCTATTTTTTATTTGTGACAATCAAGGAAAGGACCTGTTTTTCAATTATTTATTTTCACAGACTACTTTTTTTTTATTTAACAGATCCCAGAATCTCATTGCTTAACCGAATTTTCAGCAGAAATGAATGCCCTTACAATATAAACATGAATACTAGGTTATTCTGTGCAATAACATATTGTGAGGAAAACACTGGATAGAAGGACCTGTCTGTTTTGAACAGATTGTTAAATCGATGTGATTTCTGGTGGATTGCAATTTCAAATTGAAAATGTGCATGAAGCAGGATTTGTTTGGTGGGAGAAATAAAAGCAGTCATGATGCGGACTCGTGTGTAATTGAAAGATGTAGGAACAGTGGCTTTTACCGTACGTGCTGGGAGATTACACAGCTGTTTACCTGCCTGTGTTCAAAAGGAAAGACAGCTTTGCAGGCTCTATTCCCCAGTGCCTCTCCTTTGTGCTTGCACTCCAGCAGTTCGTGCAAAGCATGAGCGATGCCATACACAGCTTTGTACACATTGTAGGAAACTCTTAGCTGAGAAACATCTGAGTAAATGTTGTTAGTTGCCCTGAAGTCTTCTGAGCCTGTGCAGATATGGGAGTTGGGAGCTAGATAGTTTGTTTTGACCCCGGGGAAATTAAGCTTGCAGTCAAACAGCTTTTCCCAAAACATGTTAACAAACACTGACTCTGGGCTGGGAGAGGGCCTGATCCTCCAGAGGAAGTCCCTAAGCCCAGGTATTTGTGCACTGCGAAATGCAAAGCCGATAGTTCCTCCCAAAGTTTCCTGGAACTCCGTTGTGGAAAGCAGCGTAGCTGTGACCCAGGCCTCGCTTGCCACCCACTGCCTGCCAGTAACATTCTGACGTATCACCTCTTTCAGGAGTTCAGAAAACTTCCCCTCTGTTGTGAAGACAATGATAACCTTAGCAGTTGAACTTTTGATGGTTTCCACTATCTGTCTGATTTTTTCTGCAGAGTAGGTCTTGGGTATAGTTTTGTAAAAGGACAAACATCCGCCATGTTCCTTCAGTTGCTCCGCAAACGACTGGAGGCCGTATTGACCATAATCATCATCTGTTGCAACAGCGCCCACCCAGGTCCATTTGAAATGTGTCACCAGCTGGACCAGTCCTCTGACCTGAAATAAATCGCTGGGAACTGTCCGGAGAAAAGTGGGAAATTCTCGTTTGTTGGTCAAACAAGCACATGTAGCAAAGTAACTGATCTGAAAAACAGACGTGAAAATACAGTATCAAGGACTGTTACTGTACATTTCAACTAACAGTAACCTATATTTATAACAAATATCTTAAATACATACAGTATGTCTCTCATTCTTTTGTCAGAAACGTTCTTTAGTATTTTACAAATACGGCAACTAACCTTAAGAAGGCTGCATATGCCAAAAAAACATGAATCTATCACTGCCTCAAGAGTAAATGTGATGGTTCACAACATGTTCTTCATGATGAATTATTTCTGTCAGCAACAGTGACCTTTGTAGCTGAACAGTAATACTGTAGTACTTACTGTTTGTGTCATTTCTGAAAAATACAGGAGCAGTAACATCTTTAGACAAAGGTCTCAGTCACTTCTCTTTGAAGACACATACTCTATCACTATAACCTGCCTTCAATTCTACGCACCTGCATGCATTTTAGACTGTTTCATCCTATTTTGGGGTGCATGTGAGAAGACGTTATGCCCCATTTAAAATGTTTTTTTAAACTGAATCTTTGTAGGAGCATGGATTCTCAATGTGCTGCATACCATACATGACTTTAAACAAAACAATTACATTATTAAAACACTACATGATATTATTGCATTTCATATACTGTATATTCAGTGCTTTACAACAGAGTGTGGAGGGATCATTTCTTGTTAATCCTTTATCAATGCAAATGATACCATTTGCAAATAAATTTGCCTGGTAAGAATTGCATCTACACATGCGCACATAGTTTGAACTGAAATTGTGTGTGGGGCTTTTAAAATGGAAATAAAATGAATGTAACTAAAAGGCAAAAAAATATTCTTGCTCCTTAGATTTGTGTTGTTGCAAGGCAATGATAAGTACCCATGCATTTTTTAAATTATTGACCGATCATGTCAGTAATTTTGGTGATGTCTGGTTATTCTTTATTCTGCGTATTGAAGAACCACAGTGATTTTGCTTACCAGTGGAACACCAAAAGGCCCTATGGTGTGAGCAACTGCTCGGGTAGGAGAAGAGGAAGCCAGACCAATGATGGCAGATACTGGAAAGCTCTTGTTGCACTTTGGACTTAAGACAGCTTCATCGTTGCCATTTACCAGAGTCAATGCCCCTCTCAGGCCGTCATGAACATTATCACAGCTGTCCGCAATTTTATAGCCCAAGGACACTCCAGGCAGAAGAGTGCCATTCTTGTTGATTTCTTCAATTGCAAAGATCATGGTCTGAACCCAACGAAAAGCCCTGTAATCAAAACTAACAGACATTTCATTAGTGAACTGCAAAAGAGCCCATTCCACATGTGATTTATTATTTCAAAAGCCCAAACATACTGTTATCTTAGAAATCTTAGATTCTTTTTCAAGAGTAAGAGCATTTAAGATCTCCAGTAAATTGCAGATATTACGTGTTTTATTTCATATCATAAAATAAAAATGCAATACAAAACACACCCAAAATGTCAGAAAAAAATTATGAAACTTTACAATATGACCGATCTGACGATGTCGTTAAAAATGTGGAGTTACTTACCCATTGCATTTACTGTAGTGGGGCTGAGAAATATACAATAAGCTGGGTTCAGGAGCTATAAAATGCAGGGGAAACAATCCACCTATCAGAATATCCCCATTTTTTTCTAACACTGGAATATCAAAGTCCTTCTGCAATTTGCATGAACCATTGGTTTCAGACACCTGGATGACTACTGTTAGTAGCGCAGCAACAGGAAAAGGAAAACGTGCTGCACTCTTACCTATAGTCATCTCTGCAATGGCAGTGACGGGCGACAAGCTACTTATATACATAGCTTTGTCTGCATGAGTGATAGACTGATCGTTCAAATGAAATTAAAGCTGCTTCAGTGAATTTTAGAATCACAGATCATATACTGTGCAAATTTCTCCAGGGATAAAAAAGATACTAAAGTAAGGCATTGGGCCTTGTAATGGGTTGGAGAGACAGTGTTTATTTTTAATACACCAGATCTCTAACTGGTGTATCCTTATAGTGATATTCTTACATGATGTTGAATCCAGCCCACATCTTACTGAGCTGTCCCCCCACAATTTAAGTGTTGAATCCCCCCCAAGTGGTTCCGCACCCCTGGTATAAATGTCAGCCTGCTGCACAATCATTTGTGTTGTGCCTAAGCCCCTACTGCCAGGCAGAAAAATGTGAGTGTATGCTCAGTTGCGTGCTTGAGTTGTATCATCTCTTAAATTCAGCAGGATTTCATATTAATAAATCATCTCACAGGTTCATACTTTATAGACTCCTTTTACGTAAGCATGTTTACCCAGCAGTGCAAAGTAAATACGTTAACTAAATTATTCATATGTATTATAAAAATAGCCTAAGGTTTAAGCAAAGCTTTTTCAGTCACTGGGCTATTGTGTAAAGCATGAAGGACTTGATCTGACTCCTGAGGTCCAGTATATCTAAATCTGCTGAAATGTTGCCCTCACACAGTGGATTCCTGTACTGTTTCACGTGTGCTCACCAGCAGCTGCAAGAGTTATCACACATCAAACTACATATGATTTTAGTACAGGTGAAAAGAGAAGAAAGAAAACACAACGTTTCGGCCTTGGAGCCTTCTTTAGGTGTACATATGATTTTAGTCAGGCTTCAGTATTATGAAAAGTCAGCAAAGACTTATTAATGTTTCGGCTTGGTTCAATCTATACATATGCAGACCAAAGAAAGTCCAGCAATCTTTCTTATCTTACACACAGCTCTGCAAAACTATATTTAGATTTTTTAATTTTAACGCATTTAAACATTCCCTGTTTTTTTTAGCCATTGGTAAAAGAAATTAAGTAATTGAAAACTTGAGATGAATTAATTAGAAGATAATAACAATTTTAAATAAGGTCAAGGATTTCTCTGTTTTTGTGCACAACAAATTTAACTCAAAACTCTATGAGGCTAGGAAGCAGCCTTAAGGCATGAGTCAGCTGCAGCAGACTTGCTTGTGACATCCTTTCTCCTTTTACCTGCAGTTAACACCTGGACCTGGATCAGCGAAAACTCTGAGGACTGAGCTCTGTTCAAGACAGGAGCCCAATGCACTGAGGAACAGAACGCTCCTAATATTAGGCTTTTGGCTCCAATTGCACAAATGTCTTTCAGATTTTTAAGGTGATATACTGTATTAAAAAAAAAGCAATGTGAAAAAAGAAGAAAAAATCAAGAAAAGAATACACCTCTTTCTGAGTGTAAAACTTATCGAAAAGATTATCATTTTTCATCACAGTCTGATTTGTCCTATTACCCTCTATTTCACTGACTATAAAAATCATCCTAACAAAAAAATAATTGTGTTAGGAGAATATTTATCCTCTCACATATTAAAACAGTTATGAACCATTAATGAAGCATCTCTTAGTTCAGAACAGAATATTGCTTTACACGGTTACTGTATTGCAGGGCTGTTACATCACTTTTGGAAAAGCTGGAAAAGCTTGTGGACAGGTAGACTGGCAGATTTACAAGCTCAAAACCTGCCAAAACAGACCGACCCCAGGGATGTAGGATACAGTGGGCAGAGGGCAATTAGTTCACTATCTGTCACAGAAAGTGCCGGTTCATGCTAAGGCAGAATGATTGCTGTGCCAGTCTAAAACAACAGTACAGTACACGTGACAGGTGGCTGAAGTCACACAGGTATTCTGCTGCATCTTTCCAGAAGGACTGTGGGGTTGTTTACTGTAAAAGGCAGTGACATCAAATAAGAACAATGATGATGATGATTAGTATTATATGCAGTAATAGTAGCAGTGAATTGTAAAGGCATGGGTGAAACAATGCATTTTTCAATTCATCAGTCTGTCCTATAATCGGCACTAGAAGTGTAACATCTCAAGTGTCCACTAGTTTGTAGTTGCACAAACAGAAGATTACAAATCATTTCCAAAATAAGTTGAGAATCAACAGGTACAGTTGTTAAAAAACAGCATTTTAAGTATGACTGTTTAGACACAGAGCGTGCTCCCTTATTAACTCCAAATACACAAATGTTCAGACATTTCTCAGCCTTGTATCATATTAAAATTGAAGCGCCTGCCTTCACATTAATTTATTTGAACATGAAATATAGTTCTTTGCGTTTATGTGCAAAGGGATGACTACATTCTACAATAAGTCCAGAATTCTCATGCCTATTCAGTGCAGTATAACCAGAAAGGATTACATGCACAGCGCATAACATCAACATCTGAAAAGAAAATTACAAATTAAGTTAATTGTTTGATTCAATTCCTTAGTCTCAAAATTATTCTTATTTGGGAAAAGAAGATGAGCAATAATAATTGTCTTCAGTCCATTCACGTTTAATTATAAATTAGTCCCCGGATTTTAAAAGATAATACGGAAATATAAAAACTTGTTGTGAAGTCTGAAATCAGATTTCCTTAAATAAAAATCCCAGTTATTGAGCATACCATTCAAGCACTTGAATTCACAAGCATCATGAGTATGTACTGAGTATGAGAAAAAACGAAAATTTGTTCATGTGTGAATAATGTCATACGTTATAATAATGTTTAAACTCTTTAACTGTGTGTAGTAATTTTTTTCTGCCATCAGGGTATATCTGCATAAATCATCAATTCCTTAACGTAGTTCAGCCACAAAATCTCCTGGGACCCACACCTGGTATATATAGGAGAATTCTGTGAACTTCAGCTCACATCTCATTGTCCGTTTCTGCAGAAATGACATTTTTTCAGTGTCTTCATTTATTGATTACATTAGTTTTTCAACTTGTTGCAGATGAAGATGATTACACATGCAAAATTCAAGACAGGTTTGAGTTGAATAGCTTACATAAGAATGGGGATATCATGTTAGGAGGGATCTTCGCAATACATTTTAGTACTGTAGATCCCAAACTATCTTTCACTTCTAAGCCAGAACAATGGAGGTGTGAGAGGTGAGTTGATATCAAATCTTACAGTCACACCAGGAGTTACGATAATGATCAAATAAAGATGTGGGTTTCTATCACAGAATATAGGTTTAAGACAAATGTGACAGATTTATATTTTGCTTCTTTTTTCAGCCTTATAAGTTTCCATGTCTCTGTCAGCCTTGATTTTGCAGGATTTCAGTGGGCACAGACCATGGCTTTTGCTATTGAGGAAATAAACAGAGACCCTGCTCTTCTCCCTAACATCACACTGGGATACAGGCTGTATGACAACTGTGTGAACCTGGCAGTGGCTCTGAGAGCAGCAACAGCTCTGATCAGCGGAGAGGAGGACTCCGTCACTGACTACAGCTGTACAGGGACTCCCCCTGTCTTAGCCATTGTTGGGGATCCTGGTTCTACACATTCTATTGCCATATCAAGAATGCTGGGCCTCTTCCATATGCCTGTGGTAATGTAAAGAATACCCATACAGAAAAAGGATTTATGCACAGATCAAAAGAGATTAATATACAGTTGTCAGATATTGTTTTTGTTCTAATCTATAAGACATGCACGTTTCAAACATATAAAAATAATCACATATGATAAATGTGCTATATATTACCAAATTAAGAAACTGTCAAATATTATATATGTTAACTTGTTTTTCAATTGTTGTCTTTTCTCCTTGTATTTAGAGGTCCCTAAGAGTCTCAAAGGATTCCTTAATTTTCCGTTTGGAAAATGGCTTCATTTGCATGCACAACTCTTTTCATATTCCTAATGGCTGGAATTAATTTTACATGTATTTTCTTTGTCCTACACAGGTCAGTTATTATGCCACATGTTCTTGCTTAAGCAATAGAAAGGAGTTCCCCTCTTTCTTCAGGACTATTCCCAGTGATACGTTCCAGGTCAAAGCCATGGTTCAAATCATCAGGCATTATGAATGGACTTGGATTGGTGTAATTGTGAGCAATGATGACTATGGGCTGAATGCTTTGAAGACCTTTACAGAGGAGGTAAACAGATTTGGCTGCATAGCTTTTTCAGAAACGCTCCCCAGTGTCAACAGAAAGACTAAAATACTTCAAATCATCAACAGCATCAAGAAGTCAACAGCAAGAGTCATTGTTGTATTTTCATCAGAGGCAAATTTAATTCCTCTGGTTGAAGAGGTTGTTCACCAGAACATCACCGGCAGGCAGTGGATTGCCAGCGAAGCCTGGTCTACCTCAACTGTAATAGTCAGGGAGGAAAACTTCAGCTCGTTTGGTGGGACAATAGGAATTGCCATCAGCAGGGGAGAAATCCCAGGGCTGGAAGAATTTCTCCTACAGATTAGTCCAACTACTGTTATCGGTAACAATTTGATCAAACAGTTCTGGGAAAAAATATTTCACTGCAAATTCCAAGAGAACTCAGTTGAGCACAACTCATCAAGTCCAGTGAATGGTATAATCTGCACTGGATCAGAAGATGTTGAAAAAACCAGAACGTCTTACAGTGATGTGTCAGAACTGCGGGCTTCCTACAACGTGTATAAAGCAGTGTACGCCTTGGCACACTCCCTGCACAATCTGATGTCGTGTGAGCCTGGAAAAGGGCCCTTTCAGAATAACTCCTGTGCAGACATCACAACTGCGCAGCCCTGGCAGGTAGAATTAAAACAGTATTTTCCTGTTTGTCATGTTAGGAGTGAAAATGCTGTATCTATATATGATATATTTTTATCTTAACCATCCATTTTATTTAGCGTTTCATGGAAAGATTCTGGAAAGGATATTTTCCTTACATGGAAAATTATTTTATTTGCTGTTCATACTATTTGAAAATATTATTTTTCCCCTTTCTTGCCACTTACTCACCAGTCTTTTTATCTGCCTACATCCCACATCTAATTATGCACAATTATAATTCTCATTGTGTTTAGTTGCCTAACAAAACAAAATGTATTGTTTGTTGCAGTTAAAATTACAGGCATGGCAGTAATTAGTGTCATATACTGTACATGAACTAATCTCACTTTCCAGTGACAGTAATTGTAAACACACTTAATTTGCTCTTAATTGCTTAATTTATTTATTTACTTGTCTTAATTGCTTAATTGGTTTAAAAGTTAATAAGCCTGTCCCAAGTAGAATTGTGTGATTAACCTACAATAAATGCTTGCAGCTAGAAAAATATGATTATATAGATATATGTCTGAAAATATAATTGCAAAATTGATCAGTAATTCAAATGTCAAAACTTTATAAATGTGAGGTTATTGTTTATTTCGGAGAGAAAAAAAAAACAATGGATAATGCCCAGTGCAGAGGAAATGTTGTTTGTCATTGTTTGTATTTAATGAATTATAAAACTATTTTATCACACGATTTATAGTAGATTTGACTTCTGACCTATAGAAGCTGAAAATTATGAGGTTAAATTGCTTACATTGCTTGTGAATTTTAAAGTTGCCTACTACAGCTACAGTAATCTTGTGTAATTTACCACGCTTTACTTCTTTCAAGCTGCTGCACTACCTGGCGAGAGTGAACTTCACTACTCACTATGGAGACAGGGTGTCCTTCGATGAGAACGGAGATGCTCTTGCAATCTATGATGTGATGAACTGGCAGAGGGCCGATGACGGGGCTGTGAAAACAGTAACAATCGGTCTGTTTGATGAATCAGCTCCTGCTGGACAACAGCTCACACTGAATGAAGACAAAATCTTCTGGAACTTTGACACAGTTCGTAATTTAAAAAAAAATAAGCCTCTTTGTTTTCATTGTTTGCAAGAAAACTACTTTCTGTCCTGTGGTGTTCCCTTTGTGCATGCTACATAAGGATCTGTGACCTTTCGTTCATTTTATTTTGCTAACCGTGGTTTGTTTGAACTTCTGTGTGTATTTTGCAAATCCTGTAATGCAACAAAATTTTCATCTGGGTTTTAAATCTTTAGAGTCCATGCTGTAAGTCCACCATAAAATCAAATGCTTTAAACAGAAAGTGTGGGACTAAATTATAACTGATATGGCTGCGTTAAGAAATAAAAAAAAAATAAAGTGCTCACCATGATGAACGTTCATTTTTTGGCTTGACATTTGCAGTTTGAGGTGAACACTTTATCTTCCTTCCCCAGCCCCCCAGGTCTGTGTGCAGTGAAAGCTGTCAGCCTGGCACCAGGAAGGCAACCAGGAAAGGGGAGCCCCTCTGCTGTTTCGACTGTGTGCCTTGTGCAGAGGGAGAGATCAGCAACCACACAGGTGGGCAGGCATAGTTCCTTTATAGAAATAAAATGTTCATTTGAGTTTTTCTTATGCAAACTTTTACCACTGATAATTAAAACACATCAATGTTAAATAGTTTCTCATTATAAATGCTTTAGATAAAGCTTTATACTGTATATACAGCAATACAGTGTATAAATTATCACATGCTTTAAATAGGGGTCTCTAGTGTATTTTTATTTTCTGTTTTCTGTGTGTTTTCTGTTTTCCTTTTTGGTGTCTTTTTAAGGGCTATGGATTTTAATATTTTTTAAATCACTTTGTTCCTAATTATCACGTTCTTTATGAACAAACTGACATTGAATTCAAAGGTGTTGAATACAGTCATTCTTCTTTATCACACATTGCAATGATGAAATAAAGTAATAATTTTCATTTCTGTTTCAGATTCTATTGGGTGTTTCCAATGTCCACTAGATTCATGGCCAAACCCAAGCAGAGACCAGTGTGTGCTGAAGGAAATTGAGTTTCTTTCATATGAAGAGACTTTAGGAATCTCTTTGACAACAATCTCATTATTTGGGGGGTGTATTTCAGCTGCAGTTTTAGCTGTGTTCATTTACTACAGGAACACCCCAATCGTAAGAGCCAACAATTCTGAACTGAGCTTCCTGCTGCTGCTTTCTCTAATACTCTGCTTCCTCTGCTCATTGCTGTTTATTGGTCAGCCACTACACCTCACCTGTATGCTGAGACATGTTGTGTTTGGAATCAGTTTTGTTTTGTGCATATCTTGCATTCTTGTGAAAACCATTGTTGTCATCATGGCCTTCAGAGCCACACTGCCAGACAATAATGTCATGAAGCGGTTTGGTGCTGCTCAGCAGAGAGGCACTGTTTTTGTCTTTACTGTCATCCAGGCTGTAATCTGTACTGTATGGCTGAGTACAGCATCCCCTGTGCCTTTTAAAAACATGCAGTATCAAAACTCAAAAATCATTTTTGAGTGTTATATTGGATCGATTACTGGATTTAGTTTCCTGCTGGGGTACATAGGCTTGCTAGCCAGTGTCTGCTTTGTGCTGGCTTTCCTTGCAAGGAACCTGCCTGACAACTTCAATGAAGCCAAGTTCATCACTTTCAGCATGCTCATCTTCTGTGCAGTTTGGATCGCTTTCATACCAGCTTATGTCAGCTCTCCTGGGAAATACTCGGACGCTGTGGAGATTTTTGCCATCTTGGCTTCAAGCTTTGGTCTCCTAATTTCGATATTTGCTCCAAAATGTTACATTATTCTGATTCATCCAGAGAAAAATACCAAGAAAGTCCTCATGGGCAAAGCAATCTCTAAGAAGTAATTAGGCTACTTTGCATGTTCTTCAAGACTTTATGGCTTCGTAAGGAGGCCCTGTTCTTCTGAACTGAGAAAAGGCCTCTAAATAATGCATAGTGCTTTGCTTATGTCCAGAATGATATAATATTCCTGTTCCATATAAGTTCATACAGTACTAATAGCACTTCAGTTCTATAATGTGCAGACAATATCAAAGTTAATATTTTCATATTAAAAAGGTTTTATAAGACATTCTGTCATGTCATGTGATGTTTGATTATTCGTGAATAGCTTTTAATCTGCTGTGCAGTTTTGTATGTCTAAAATGTGATCAGAAAGCCAGTAGGGCACAATTGTCCACTTAAGACATATTGCAAAATAAACTTCTATCTTAGTAATTGCCTTGAAAAATCATTTCAAATATGCTTATTTTCTGCCAAGCTGCCCTAAAGTTTCCAGACAGCTGTCACAGTTTTCATTGCTAGTTCCTTTTTACCCTGTGCCTGTAATTCATAGCTGGGCCTTAATGATTGAAGCCTCTAAGGACTGAACCCAGATCACTAGAGCACCTCAGTGCTTCACCACAGTCTCTCTCACTGCAGTCTGAGTGCTCTGAGTGAACAACAAGGCTTGTATTTCTATGGGTGTCAAATTTCTGATCTAGTTGAATAAAATAGTGATACATTCTGAAATTGTAATTGAGTAGATACTGCGAGGTAAATCTATTAATTATATACTACTAATAATACAATTACTGTATTATTTTTAATGTAAATCTTAGATGATGCTAAGACATACAGTACCTTATTTGGGAAGCATTCATAATGTTTTGCAAATGATTGTCAGATGATACTTGATCAAATGTGTGTATAGCAATGCAATGAGTTGGCTGTGGAATAACACTTGTATCTCACATTAGTGCAACATGTAAAACATTGCTAAACAAACCACTTTCTTAAGAATTCGAAAGATTATATACAGCAATAGGCAGTTCTTAGATCACAGCAAGTGAGATTGTGCATCCCAGAGATAAAAAAATGGATTTTTCTTTTACTGGGATTAGTTCTTCTGTTAGAATTTAGAACATCTTAGAACACAGAACATTTAGGATGCATAATCATTTAGTTAAAATATTATTTATAAGCATTTACTGTATTTTCTTAGAAATCTTAAACATTTATGAAAATTATTTTTAAAAATGTTTAATTTATCCATTCATATTCACAAAAGCATGCTATTTTAGCAATGATACTGTAGAACTTTAAAAATCGCACTAAACTAGCGCATTACAAAACTTCTTAGGTTGTTATTATATAAAAAAGATGAAGGTTTGTTTTTGGAGTGCTCTAAGTAACCACCAAGGCCTCAAAACCACGGGCATCATATTGAGCATCGAGGGCAGTTGAGTGAACACCAAGGGCAATTGAGACAGATGTGGCAGATTTGTGCAGATTCAGACACAGAAATTTAATTCAATTAATCCTGACAATCAAAATATATTCAAGAAGGCAAACAAACGTTTCATCAGAATTTGTATAAAATTTGAAAAAGCTAGTGAAACATTATTGTGATTATTATTCCATCCACTGTATGGGAATGGCTGAAAATGAGATGGTCACAGAATCAGACTGGTATACCACTGGATGCTAGAAGCTGTTATGGACTGGGTTTCACTGATAAAGCTTTTCTACACCAGATTGTAGAATCTGAAAAGAAAAATCATACATCATCATAAATAGAATCAACTCTACGAAGTAAGAAACACATACAGTATGCAATACTATGCATATACTAAGAAGATCCATTTAAAATGACTATTCAACACTTCTACAGAGGTGGCCTGTGTCTTTGAGCTTTAGAGCAATTTATATATACAGCAAATAGAAAATATTTCCTCCACTATGGGCCTCTGTCTCCAGTCTTTCAAGTATTCCAAAGACGGGAATTCTTTCTATAGACAGTAGAGCCTTATGGTTTTCAGCTTAACAATTGTATAATTTTCTCCCGAGATCTGTTAGAGACTCTGGGCCTGTTTGTTCCTAGAAAATATGGCTTGAAAGTGTTTTTATTCTATAAGGCTCATTTTTTAACTGTTTGTTTTTTGTTTCTCACAAGTTGTTTCATGTTTGTTTTAACATTTCTTCCTACAAAGTTCAGAGATATGGTGAAAGGTGCTACAGATATTCGCATCACTGTAGAAATCCATCAATAGAAAATTAAAAATGTGTATGCATATTCAGAAATATACATACTGTATGTTCCCATAGAAAGTATGTTATAATATGCAATGTTTTCACATACCCTTGAGACACTTGTATTAATTTAATCTTATCAGGAATAACCTGATTTTTGGAAACATTCCTAGTATTTTTCAGATGGTTTTCAGCTGAAACGTCACAAAATGTGTTTGTAGTAGTGCTCGTGACTTAGCTGTAGGATGTCACCTAGCGCCACATTTAAAACACTGCTTAACAAAGCACTCTCTCAGGAATAAGACATTGCCTATATAATAGGAAGTTCTTAGACCACAGCAAGTAAGGTTGTGCATCAGCAGGGATGAAATTTATTCAGTGTATTTTTCAATTACAGGGTTTAGTTCTTCACATTCTCACTTTAAAACAACCTATTTGCACTCTTCGAGAAAAATTTGAGCTCTCTGGGTTGTTTAAAAATGGAGATATTCTTTTTGGAGGCATATTTGAGGTGCATTTAACAGTAACATACCCTGAATTGTCTTTTACATCAAAACCAGACCGGCTGAGATGTGGGAGGTGAGTTAAAATGTACATTGTTGTATGG